GGTCGTTGCAAAAATAAAGTGGCTTTCGCAGAAAACTTTCTGACGAAGGGGGGACCCAGGGGCGCGTGCTGCGGGTTTTTTTCAACGCAGCACGGCATACATTTGAGCTTGAGAAACAGTTTTTTTTTGCTCGGGGTGCAAATAATGGGTAAGGCAAACCCGAATAAACCCGTGTTTCGTAACTTGTTTAATGCTTGGCTGTCTGAAGTCCAGACATGCCTCGTTTAAATATACTTCACAGTGAGAAAGAGGAGGACGAAGTTCAGTTATAGAAACGATAAAAAAGAAGTTAGCGGTGAATGTCGGGCGGCTCACCGGCACCATGTTTGGCCAGCATGTAAGAACTGTACAGAAAACCTTCTTCATAAAATGAAAATCGCGTACTTCGGCTTCCACAGGAATTGATACGTGGTCTGCTTTGCTGGCGCGATCAATGCCCGGTCGATCGAGTCAAGTCAATCCAATAGAATTCGGAAGACATTGCCACGTCGACAATTACTGCGTCCCTTTAGGCTTAGGAATGGCCTGGCTCGAAAGACGATCTAAAGCATGGGGCGGAATAACTGCTCATACTTTGCAGCTTAAGTGGGACAAAGCAAGGCGAAAGCCTCCTGCACCATTCATTGCAGACAAACGTGCCCTATTGTGCAGCAACTATGACATATTAGGCATGGTCCGATCCAACATGTATTCCGGATTCGTGTACGAGGACACGTAAAAAATACGTGTCCCGGAGCATGAATACGTAGCGAAATTTTACATTTTCGTTAGGACGGCTTTCCGGAAAACATGAGCATATACATTCAGAATACGGGCGAAGAAGAGCGAGGACACCTAGCGCGGGCGGAGGCTGGCAGAGGTACTTCGCGGCTACGGGAATCGATTTTTTGCGAAATCCCCCAAGCGCCCCGGCCCGCGCGCGAGGAATTATGGGAGAGATTGTCCTTCGCCTGGCCGCTCTGCCTTGAGATCGCTTTGCCTTGTCGCTTGTCTCCTCTTAATCCTCTGTTTTTCGATTCTATTACCTATTCTTATCTATTCCAGTGTATTTGTTATTGCCTCTAAGTGTTTCTATTTTCTTCGGCGCGCGATATTTCATGTAGATTATAGTATTTGTGCCTTTATTTTGCCTTTTTCGAAAGGAGTGCCGACTAGCAACACGCCGCTTCACGCGTCGTTCCCCGGGTGTGAACTACCGTTGCTACCGATTCCTATCGCGCTGTTAGCTGTTCATTTTTGGTTCATTTGACCCGCGTGCAGTCGAGAGGAGCCGTTTATGAACATCCGCGCACATGTCATAGGGGTAGGCAGAGCTTTGAATCAACAATCGCTACGCGAGAGCCGAGTGCGCTGTTATTTGGCCGCCCGCGCTCGCTCCGTTGACTCGCACTGCAGCGTATGCCTTCGAGTTCCGCTTACTTGACCAAGACACAACACGCCGCTTTGTCGCCACGAACCCTTTGTCCGAATGTGTGCGAAGCTGAGGCATATGCAACGCTGCGGCGCGCCTGACAACTAAAAGATCTTCCAGCAAAAAGTTGAGTGTTTCTATTTTTACGGAATCCATACTGAGACTCATTTATTAAACAGAACTTCTCGCAATACGATGTCATTGTGTTAAAAACAATTTTTTTCATAATGTGCGCTATGACTGGCAATATTGATATGGGTCTATAATTTATAAATCTTTTTTTACTGCCATTTTGGTATCATGGTTTCACAACAGCTGTTTTCAATTCAATAGGAACTTTCCTTGGTGAAAGTGATTCATTTACTATTTTTATTAGTTGTTCTAGTGACCGCCCCTACAAAAAATCGTGTTTTCATTTCGGCTATTCTCCCCTACATGATGTTTTCTATTTAGTTAAACTTGCTTTCTATGCTGCTGAATGTTCTGCTCATATTGCTACAGTTCCGTATTATTTTCATACTTTCAAAAAGTAACGAGAAATTAGAGTAATCCGTTACCAATATTTTGTAACGAAATTGCATTAAAAATTAGCTCCGAAAAAAAGTAACGTGGAAATAACAAAATTGCTTGAAAAAGTAATGGATTACTAGCAATCCGTTACTTGTAACGGATTACTTCCCAAGTCTGATTTCTCGCCAAAGTGGAGACGAAAGACGCGGAAGGCATGCGAACATTCGTGAAAGGGCGCAGGTTTTTCATGCGAGAACGCCAGAACCCTAGAACGTTTTCCGTCTTCATCTGGGAGTCACGGCGGCTCTGCCGGGGTCGGATGGTCGGATCTCCGCGCTGTGTAGCTCTTTTCTTGCTTATGTGTACCGGCGTCTCGCGGGAGTGCCGGCGCCTAGCGGCATTCCGTCTCTCGCGGGAGTGGCGCGCGGGGATTCTCGTCGAATTTTCCAGGTCTTTCCCCGCCGGCGTGCGCGTGCCGGAGGTGGATGCATTTGATCGGAGGCCTGCGGTTTAGAGAGCTCGTTTTAGTAAACGCCGTTTTACGGAGCCCAGTTTATCGAATCGCCTAACAGAGAAGATCAGTTCAGAGAAAAAGGCGATGAGCCTCCTTTTAGCGACTTTTGCCGCCGCGAAGTGGGGTGTACGAGTGGGCCAGGTGCGTTAATATTTTCGCAATGAGCCGCCGCAGACTGTCGCCAAGAAGCCACGTTAACCAGGGGGGGAAGGGGGGGGGGGGGGGCGGTACCACGCGCTTTAGTGATACACGCGCGAAGTAGGGGAGCCTTTTTCTTAACACCATCCCCTTTTTGGATAAACGGTACTTTCTCTTGTTCTGGTGAAATGACGTTCGATCAACCATACTAAACCCGAATTCGATGCTGCATTACTGTTTCCGCGGAGGCTCGGTGCGTCATCCCGTCGGGGCGTGGCGGCGGAGCGGTGACTTTGAGAGGGTCAGGCCGATTTTGTGACAGTCAGTAAGAGCAGTTATTGGCCTTCGTGTTTGTAAAATATGCTTACAAATATATTTACGCAAGTGGAAACACCTTGCTCCGCAGCGCGAAGCCTCTCACAATTTCCGGCGCACAGCGAACGGAATAGTAGCGCGAACACGCGCCCGATTGAAGACCGGTTCGGAAGGTTCTTTTGTTTTGCTCCGGTGCAAATTCAGCTCCAAAATGGCGGTGAACATTTCGGTTCAGGCTCTGTTCCGGTTCGGGCAAAATAAGCGGCTCAGTTCCGGTTACGGTTCAGTTCCGGTTGCGGTTCAGTTGCGGTTATGGCTCGCCACCCTTGGTCAGACTGGTCCGGGCATGGTTTCGGCGATGTCCCAGAAGCGCTCCCGGCCAGAGTGAGCGAGAGCCTAAGCTCGACCGCCCCTACTCAGGGAACGGAATCTATTACATGTCCGCAAGAAAATCAATTCCTGCCCTCCTCCCCTTCCCAACTCCACCAGAGATTTCGACCTGCCCAGTGCACTCTGGCTCGGAATAAAATGGTACTTGGTGCTGGTGTACGTGGTGACAATACTTCAAGAACTCGCATAGCGCTTGTGCCGCCTGCATCTCAACGCCGGATTCTACGACCAAGAGGCTCCCACTACGCCTTCTTCATCGGTTTCCACTGCTTCCCTTCAGTCGCTCGAGGTTGCGGCTCCATCCGCTACCGCGATGTCGGCTTCGCCGAATAACCACGCCTCTTCACTTCCATATGTTTTTCGTCCATTAGCTGTCATCCCTTTCTCCCCTCCCCCCAACCAATGATGACCGTTAGGCCTCTGGCTATGACATACGTGTTATCATTTTCGATTAAAAGGTTAAAAGGCGCGAACAAACAGGACGAAAAAAGAGACACGTACGACACGGACATGCGCCAACTTCCCACTGATTTATTGAAACACGAATGATCGTCAAACTCGATCCAAAACGCCTCAACACATGCAACTGATAAAAATTCCTATCGGTCATTACACACATCCTTGAAGAAACACAATTTTTTTGGTTAACAGATAAAGAAACGGCATGCTTACGCATCTGTCAGCCGCTTTGTGTATACAGAAAGCTTTGATTAGTTCTCTTTCAATTTTTTTCATTCGCTTTCTTGATAAACCTTGTGCGCTCAAACAAAGGTTCGCACCCACATCGTTTGCAGTGATCCGCAAGATGCACGCCCGAATTATTGCGTACAGCAAGCTTATGTTCGCGCGCTCTTTCATTAAAGCATCGGCCGGTCTGACCGATGTAAACTTGGCCGCAACTAAAAGGAAACTCATAAACCACCTTAGTCACGCATTCCGTGTATCTTGTTACATGTTTCTTTGAGCACACTACATGCTTTCGTTTTGTCATCGCGGAGCATATCTTTGAATGTCCGTGTCGTACGTGTCTCTTTTTTCGTCCTGTTTGTTCGCGCCTTTTAACCATTTAATCGATATGAACCACCGAGCCCCAACCAAAGTTTTATTATTATTTTCTCTTTGTCAAGCCTTCTTCCTCTCTCTCCCACTGAGCGAGATCTTGGGCGATATATGAAACAAAAACGTAAACATCTACCAACAACGGATTTGGCAGTGACCTGATGCGAGGCGGCCCCAGCGCGCCGTCAGCTTACTTGGTGGCGTCCCTAATATAGCGGCCGAATCACCATTCCCGTTTTCGGTGGTATTCCTAAGTGGGTAAAGGCAATCAAAAGGACCTAACAAAGAGACGAGGGAACTTAGCAGCAGTAACTTAAGGTAAAAACACTGTGAAGGTAGACTTAAAAATTTGTATGTTTTTGCCTCAAATTATTTTTTTTAATAAATCCCATTTTACTTTATAAGCGGTGTTTCTAGTTTCCTCTATTGGCGGTTTGATCGGAACACAGCCTCGTAGATGAGAATGTGAGCGTTCTCGCAAAGATCGGCACTTACCAAAATAATGAAAGCTGCACAAAAAAAATACGAAAGAAAACGGCACATTATGGCGCATTTAGAGTTGCTTCGTAGGGTGCGTCAAGCTCATACAATGGATAAAATGAACGTCACGTGAGAAATACTGCACATGTCGGGGAGTATATATTAACCGCAATGAGACTGTCTGAAGTCGGTTCTACTGCAAAATAGTTACCTTGCGCAAACTCTGAAGTGCACTTTCACCAAATGGCTTTGAAAATCCAGAGGCTGCAGTTTGTCTGGGCGATCCTCTTTGGTAATATTACATTATTTATGTCACACGGTTTTTCTCTTTGCGAGAATATTTGTGAAAACTGCTTTTTTGGTTTTCATGCTCTTACATTGGTGACCTTCTGGGTTAACATAGTTGGCAGTCTCCAACGAAGTATTTCTACTTTCTTTAATCTATTGCTTTAAATCAGATGGTTGAAATAGTTGCAAGGTACAAAATTCACTAAGTTGATGTTTTAAATATACACTAAATTCAGTTATAACTAATATTCGAACGTAGAAAATAGCTTTATTTTCACAAGTAAAAATGCGCAATGTACAATATCGAGGCGGTATAAGCCTCTCATGGGCTTGTGTACCTAGCTCGGCAGGTGGCGAAGTCGAGTATATTTAGATTGGGTGTGCCTAGTACGGGCCCGCAGCCTTTGAGTAAAGCCTACTTCTGAAAAAAAAAAACGTTAGAACATGCTAATTATATGGAAGTATGTAATTTTTGTTTGCAACTTTAGGTTGCGATAACTGTTGTTTTCTAATTATAAACGTGTTGCCTATAGGCCTATAGATTTTTTAGCTTAATCAGTTATCCAGACTGTATTCTAGTATTTCCAATTAAAACAGAAATGCTTTTAACCCTCTTGAAGGTAGTCAAAACAATGCATACCCACACGAAACTAACATGCTACACTAGAACACGAGCTGGCGTTACTTTTATGTGTCTTACTTACTGAATGTATTATCTCCTCATTTTACCCCATGAATAACACCGAAAGGCAATTTGGAGAACCCGCTCCGGAATTTTCACTAACATAATGTGGGTGCAGATTGTTTCTGAAGCAGACTTGTACGTAGTTCAACTACTCTACTCAAGTTGCTGTAGTTTAACTACTTTCCTGAGTAGTTTAGTAACTTTAAATTACATTTTTATTTCGGTAATTAGTAGTTTGCTTTAATTACTTTTTTGAGTAACTTCTACTCAAGTTACAAATTACTTTCGAATTTTAGTGCTTGTTTTGCTTATCAAAAAACATTCCTGCACAAAGGAGATTAGATGTTCGAAGATCAGCTGATATTTGGAAAGAGGGGGAAGCATGTGGCGTAAGAAAGGGGGGAGAAAATTGTTTGTAGAGTTCGAAACTCTCCCAAAAGTTTCACAGTTTCACGTAGCAGTGCTGTTGCAGGGGGGTCCTGCAACAGCACTGCTACGAGGCGCGGTGAGCGAACAGACACGACGCAAGAGAGGCCGAGTAACTGTGAAACTTGCGCCGAAGACTGGCGTTCCTTTGTATCCCGAAGCTCAAGGAGACTCGACCCTTTTGAAGAAAGGGCTGGTCCCCGCTTCTCCCCAACATAGAAACTCTCGCCCACTACACGAGGCGCACACACTGCATCCTCACTCAAAGGAGGCAACAAAGTTCAGCACCTGCTCTGAAACTCATCTTGTGCTCCCGTAGTTTGTGCTGTACTCGAAGAATCGCGTGCTCAAGGGCAACACAAAGATTGCCTTTTTGCGTTGTCTTTCCTGCCAAAACTCAGACTATGGGGATCCTCAAAGATTCATCGATCGTTCGACAAACCTGTAGTAATTCCGCACCATTTTCATATAAAATATAATAAACAAGCAGTGTTGGGAAGTACTTTACGTACATGGTACTTAAAGTACTACTCTTTAGAAAAATTGTACTTTATTGAAGTAATTTTTCGAAGAATGTACTTCTATTTTTCGAGGAATATAAAGCTCCCAACTTCAATGCACATACCTCAAATTTGAAAAAAATAAAAGATGACGGTATTGTTGTGTGAAAACGCGCTCTGTCGAGACGCTATCTGGTCATTTCTCTGAGTGAAGTAATGGCGGCTGTAAGACCGAAACGAATAAGTGCCTTATAAGTTTACTGTGTCAAATAGCTCGTCAGCGAGAGTAAAACAACTACTCTTTCGGCGACTTGACCTTATACTATATTTGCTTCCATTTCTGTAAAAACTGATGCGCCTCCGATTACCCCTGGATCAATGCATACCAGTTAAAAAAAAAACTTTATAGAGAATAAAAGAGCATCATGAAAGATTGTGTTAAAAGTGCTTATACTTTGCCGTGAAATATATTGTATTTATATATGTTACTTCAAGTACATTGCACCCGGTGTACTTGCTACTTTACTTGAAGTACATAACCTCTCATTTACTTTGTACCTTACTTCAAGTCCTTTTCAGGTGTACTTTTTGCAACACTGTAAACAAGCAAACTCTGTCTAAAAAATCAAGCTCAGACAGTGCTAAACCTCAAAGTACAAATGACACATTCGCAGTAAATCATTGACCAAACAAACAAGAAAGTAAAAAACAATTAGGCACGCAGACGCAGGACCAGTTATTAAAGCATTTCTGTTAAAAAAAAAAAAAAACATTCATATTTGGCGAGCACAATTTCGCTAACGGATCAAAACCTCCTGTACTTTCTTTTTACCATAAAAAGCATATAAAAGTAACTTCAAAGTAACTTCAAAAGTAATTCGCTACTTTCTTGCGGTAATTAGTAATTTATTTAATTACTTTCTATTTAAGTAATTTCTACTCTACTCAAACTACTTTTGACGTCAATACTCAGTAACGTAACTTAATTACTTTTTTGAGTAACTTGTACATGCATCTGTTCTGGAGTAAGGTAACTCTGTCAAGCGGTTTACGCATAGCATCTGTATCTTGCAAGAACCGAATAAATTTAGCGGAAAAATTTCCCCGCGAAATCTAGCGAAACAAATACCCGCTAAATTTAGTGGGTACTTGCCCGCTTAATTCCCCGCTAAATTTAGCGGAAACATTTCCCCGCTAAATTTGGCAGGAAAATGTCCCCGCTAAATGTTTCCTCTAAATAAAGCGGAAAAGTTTCTTGGTAAATTTAGCGGAAACTTTTTTCCGCTAAATTTAGCGGGGAATGTTTTTCGGTTAAGTTAAGCAGATCGCTTTTCCTCTAGATTTAGATTGGAAAATTTTCCGCTAGGTTTAGCGGGGAACTTTTTCCGCTAAATGCAGCGGGTAATTGTGTCCGCTGAATATAGCGGAGAAATCTTTCCTCAAACTTTAGCGGAAACATTTTCCACTAAATTTAGCGGGAAATGTTTACCGTTAAATTAAGTCGGTAACTTTTTCCGCTAAATTTAAAGGAAAATTTCCTTCTAACTTTATCGGTCAATTTTTTCCCTCGGGAAGTCACATGTGACATCATTATGGGAAACGTCCCATAACGCAACGCCTGCGACGGCGACGCCGACGGCGTCGCCACTCAAGCCGGGAACGGGCGCCTAAGTGCAGCGCTTTCAAATATAATATCATTAAAAAGCATTGTTTCGAGCATGCGGTCTGGAAATATTTCAGCAGAATTTTAGTATTCACAAGAGATGCTACAAGTAATTTGTATTTGTTCCTATACAAGCAGACAATAGCTGAAAGAAGCCCGGGTGAAAAGACAATTTACGTTGAGTTTGTTTTACTTAACTTCACATCTATGAATGTAATATTTCATGCATTCGTACCATTACACGACTACCTACTTGAAAGAGGTAGTAATTTTATGTTTCTAATCTCTTTACTTTTCTTTATATCCGGGGCGAAGAGTATCTTAAATGCAAGTATTCAAAACGTTTATTTAAATTGCTTTTAATATTTCCTAATTCTGCACTTAACTACAATTTACAAAAGGCGGTTGCCGACTCTATTTAAATCTATAAATATGTATTTCAAATACAGTTGTAACTAACTACATTTTGAAGCAACATCGCTTTGTGAAAGCAAATAACACGTCTGGATGTAAAGGCAGTCAGAGGCCTGTCTGCCTTTGAGGTATTTCGGAAGCGGTGTTTTTTTTTTAGATAAGCAATTTGCATTTGCAATACAACTGTTAACCCGTGGTTTTCGACGAGCGTCTGACAATAGTAATAACATGACCGCACGTTAGTACTACGGTCATAAATATTGAAGCTGGCTGGAAATCTTGTTCCTTGGGTCAGCTGCGCGACTTCTCCCTCCATGTTTCCAATGCCTGTTGTAGACAAACCAGTGTTCCCAACCTCGTTACACAAAAAACGCAGTCTGAGTTGTGACATTAAGCAATGCAAGCGTGGCGTTTTGCATTGCCTAATGTCAACTCAGAGTGCGTTATTTGGTCTAAACATATGTTTCCGCATCGTCATTCGCTGTGCTGCCTCCGTAAGTTGCGGTGATTGGCTCTCCGAGTGTTGTGCGTGAAAGTAGACGCATAGACTTTTTTAGAGTGATATTGTGGCTACCTCCGCTTTTTTGCCTGCTATCTTGCAACGCGTAATCGTCAAACAACAGCCGGTTGCCGTTCACACGAACCTGCAGCTAACAAATGGTGGCTGCACATGTGGCAACCGAAATGAACAAGCTCATGATTTGAGATAAAAATATAAAAATAAGCAGAATATTTATTAGGTGTCTTCCTTTAGTGCTCGCCAGCTTACCGCCAAGTTATTCAAAACAGGATTCATTGCTACGCGTCATAAATGTGAATTTTCAAGTACCTAAGATTGCTCGTATTTCGTCGATAGTCACTCATACGTGAAGCCGAGCGGAGCATCAAAACACAAACAAGCAAAATGTACAAACTAGAAGATATGCGATGACCAGACTTGTGCCCGTTACTCCAAAAAAGTAATTAATTACATTTATATTTACTTGGCCTAAAAAGTAGTGGATTACCGTTACAAATTGTTCCCCGCAAAAAGTAACAGATTAATTACTTCGTTACTTTACTCAATTACTTTTGCGTTACTTTAAAGAAACGCGAAATACCTGCAATATCTACTGCGTCTTTGGGGGGGGGGGGGGGGGGGATTTCGGGCCCCATCAAAAATGAAACAGGTTCAGTACTATATCTACCGATTATTTTAGGATAATAATTTTACGACGATGGATCTATAAAGCTCTAAAGAACTGCAACAGGTGTTCGATATAAACGAATCTAGCGCCGTCCACCGAGGACAGAACTCAATCCCATGAACATGCGACGAATGCACATGGGTGGCGGAGGCACGCACACAATTCCAAATATGGCAACGGCAAACTTTAGAACACGACTCTCCTGAAGATGTGGTTTTTCTACGGTTGCTATATATTGCCTCAATTGGTGCTGGTTTGGCCACTAAAATCAACTGGCTGTAAGACCTAGATGCGGTACTTGCGTTTGGGCAGATTTCAGAGTACCGCTTGTTGAAGGTTGTTATCTGGCCTTGACCCACCTGATCTTTTTTCTTGATCATCAAACTAGTAAAAACTGAAACTTCACATGAAATATTCACCCACAATCTTTCAGCTAGGCTGATTTTTTCGTTTAGAAAATTTTAAAAAGAGCACGATTTTCAGTAAACAGCAGGCTTCAATGTATCTCACGCGTTTACAGTCGCCTTGCGCTCCTGTGTAGGCACCCTACACTGTCCAAGTCAGCCACTGTTTATTCTCAGAAAACTCGGGCTGGTGTTCCCTTTCCCTAAAATGTCGGAGTAAGTTCCCGTAGGTAACCGTAGACACAATCCGCTGACGAGAACCCCAACATTCTCGTTTCTAGGAATATGGGTTCAGCTTCGAAGTCCAAGCCATTTTGACTGTGCTGCCCGGCCACCTTATCGCCTGCTGTCTAAAGTTGCTGTTTGAGCTGACAGTAGTGTTGATGCTACTTTTTTTTCTGTTCCAATGAGCTGCAGCCATCGCTTCCCTTATGTTTGTGCCTTACGCATCCGCTAGTGTGAAGTCAAGTGACAGAAACCACAAAGCTGGTTGGTCCAGCCAGTATTTAGCTTTCACAGCGCTGTCAAAGATGAACAAAGTCAAGATCTCGTTACAATTTTTTTTTGTCTGCGGGATGGGTGTGTGTAGGCAGAACATCGACAAGCAAAGGACGGTCTCGTGTGACAAAAAAAAAACTGATTTGTTTTTGGGGGACAACACGCAGGGTGTGGGGCGGAAAGGAGGGGGGGGGGGGGAGGGGTCGAGCGGACATCTGCACCACGGTCACAGTGTCCATGTTCGTACTCTTCACGACTCCCACTCGTTGGTTTTATGGGCCATTAGTGTTCTGCTCTTTTGTGCGCTCGAAGCAGTTCGTTCGTTTTCCAAGTCGAAGCTTGTTGCCTTCATGTAGACAGTCGAATCCTCCCAGCCTGACTCCCGTACGAACAAGTCCAGAAACGGGCCCTGGCTGGGCTGTCGCGTTTTCCGTGAATTCCTTTCCTTCGCCTGCACTAGATCTCTTCGCGAGCGAACCCCCGTCTTGTGCTACCATGCTAAAAGCGCGAAGGCCGTTGCATCGCCCTTCTTCCACTCTATTTTTCCCTTTGACGGGGCGGAAGAATTGTAACGAGTAATTTCAGTAGCACGTTACTGAAAAAGTAATGAAATTAGATTACAAATTACATTTTCAGAAAAGTAACGGATTAAATACAGAATTACTAGAAAAGTAATTAATTACAAGTACTTCCGTTACTTGTAACGGATTACTTCCAAATCTGGCGATGACCACACCCGCACCCGTGGAACTACTTGGCATCGGCCGCTCCCGAGGAAATAAAAGCAGCCGTACAGTCTCTTAGAACTGCAATTAGGGCCAGATGGTTCATGACCACCTAATAAAGCGCCAAAATATACAAAAGGATAAGGGGTGCGCCCTGTATGGTTCATTCTCTTGCCCTTGTATGTTTTGGCGCTTTATTTGGTGCGCAGTGCGATAGGTGTCATTGAGGTGAACCAAATGGCGGTGGGAAAGAATATGAAAGAGGGGAAGCTTGGGCAGTTGGCAGAACAACTAAGCAAAGGGCACATGAATGCACCTTCATACCTAACGCATTTCCGTGCCACTAACAAGGTGAATTCACACTAGCGTTCGAATAGCAACCGCAAAACGGATTCGCTTCTTTCCACAATCGAACCCGCATGCAATTGTATTGGATCTTTAAGCAATCGCATTCGCAATCGCTTTGCGAACGCTATTCCACCGACAGTGTGAATAAGGCGCTAGAGAGTCATTCGTATGTTAAGGGCCCGATTTTTGGCAGGTTCGATCGCAACAAATATAGAAGGAGAAAAAATGAAATATTAAATAGATAATTCACGGGCCGATCTGAGTCATTTTGTTTTTCGTTTGGGTTGCAACTATGTTTCTTATAAAATGCGTTGAGGCGATTATGGGAGAGAAGCCTTTTAAGCTGGAGCTCTTCGACACTGCGACCCACTTGTTGTTATCTTTTTTCGTAGTTTCTGCACTATCAAACATATGAGTGATAAGCAGCTCGTGGCACTCTCGCCTTTTGGAAGTAGTACTTTTATGCACATTTTATTTCAAGTTGAAGAAGGATTCCTTGCCCTACACAAATTGTTATCTCCGGCCCAAGATTCGATCATTCGGCGTGATTTCCTAGTTTAAGCCAAATACGTTTTATTGGTAGATATTTGATTTCCATTTTATACACTTAGTTATCGTAGCGTATATTCTCCATTCTTTACTCGAGCATTAGTGTTTTTCTTCCGAGGGGTAAAATTTAACGTGCAAGTATCAAAATGCGAGTACCAAATATACTTGAAAAATATTTGAAGAGGTTTAAAAAATTAAGTACAAAACATGCGTCTTTGTAACAATATTCACGATAATGGAGGTTACCTTCCTTGTGGTGGGATTAAATAATTATTCCTTTAATTATATTTTTAACATATTTTAATGCGATTTAACATGCAATTTAATTTATTTTTGTAAAATCATTTTGTGCTTTTATTTTTATTCGTTTTTTGCGAGTATTTTGCCCATCCCAGCCCTGCACATTGATGTATCATCATCAACTGATTTCAGTAGTTCAGCAGCGCGCCTGATGTCTATTTAAAAATATTATCAGTTTAGACATATGCAACGAGTTCTCATTTTGCGACAACAATAGGTCACTACTCTGAATTAATAGATATAGTCATATACAAGACATTGAAGTGCATCCGAAAGCTGTCTCTTTCGGATCCACAGCTCCCAGCACGCGCTTGTTCACATGTGAAGCAGGACACCTGGAAGTCCTTCGAGGCGTTCTCGTTCTGACGGTGACTGTAAAATACAGTTATTTTGATTTAAGGAATGGATCGGCATAATGCGATATTCTACTGCTTTGAAAAAGAAAACGAAAAGACATGACAGTGCATATCAGTTCTTAATATTCCGGCTCCCTCTCAAATGATAATATTCACTAAATTCAGCCAAATATTTCTTTTTTGATGCAGCCGTGCAAGAAAATGTTCCAGCAATGTCCGGTGGAATGGGTGAGAATTAACTTTAATATTACGCATGTTAGAACATTTTATCGCATCTTATTTACATTTTAAAACGAATTAATTGTCATAAGGCCGATAGAAAACAATCTTAAAAGCAGGGTTGGGTAGAAATACTCAAAAATGTATTTGTAAATAGTAATACTGGGATACGTTAAAATGGTAGCTAAAATACCAATACTAAGATACATCTGTAAAAATGTATCGCGATACGTATCGGAAATACATTTTAAAGATAGGCAAAAAGTATTTGGAAATACAAATACAGGAATACATTTTAGGGAGGGCAGAAATACAAATACAGAAATACCGATACTGCAATACATTTCTAACTTTTTTGAGACGCCAACTGAGATGAAGCTTGAAGTTTGAAGTGGATGTTTTTGATCCCGAAATTACTTTCCTGTAGGCCTGGCACTTTGCCTTGAAGGTAGTGGTTTCGGACGACAAGGAGTCTTCAATGGGCCCAAAAAACGTTCCGTCAAGGGCTGACCGCAGTCCCTTCCATGGCATCCTGTCTATCTTACGAGGGAACCCTGTCAATCTTGATCACATGATGTCACTGTGGAATGAACTCGTATTTTTTATCTGTACGTGTGGCCTTGAACATGAAACTTTACCACGCTGCTGTATTAAAGGACAATACGTACTTTCGTTTTAGGTTACCTAGTTGAAGATCGTGCATGCAGTGTCATTTGGAATTTTTGATAATAGTGGACCACCTGAAGCATTCTGGAGTACATGTCTTATCTTCTGTTATGGTTGAAAAAACGATACGGTAGCATCCCTGTTCTGAAGGTCCTTACTACCGACCCTCCACCACCGACGCACGGATTGCAGTCCTCAAGTTTTGCCTAGCATTATCCAAACAGTGACCTCGTGGATTGCGAGCTGATATTGCCGGCACAGGTGCGAGCTGTCCGAGAAACGGCGGTCTCGAGACGAGTCGCGGGAACGTAGTCTGGGATGGCACAGCGAGGTCACTTCTGGTCTCCTTCTGGGTTTCGGATCACCAGAGCAGCAGGTCACGTTCACGTCGGCTGATGACGTACCCTTGAGCCGTGCAATGTTACGGGGACAGCCCAAGATTCATTCGAATATGTGTTGAAGTTCACGGCGTGAGTCTTCCTGCTACTTAAAGTCAACCACCGCCAGGCTCGTGCTGCAACGGAATGTGACTCAGCTTTGCCGGCTGTGTGTACTCTGTATGCTAAGGCAAGAGAGACGGTTAGCAGCGGGCATTGGATGCCAGCAAACAATGACTCAAGAAATCCCTACCTAAGGACCTGCGGCTGAAGATACTCTGACTCCACTCCTGGCATGCCACTTGGTTCGAGTTTCCGACTACGCAACACTTCTCAGAAGAGAGAAGAGGACACATAAAAAAATAGTTTGCAGAATCAAACGGAACCTTGATCAGCATAGTAACAATGCCCCAGCATTTCCTTGATTTGGGTGCCCTCAGAAGTAAAAAAAATTAAAAAAAGAAATGCGTTCGCCCTTGTTTTTCTTTTTTCTTGTTTTTTTCGGGGGGGGGGGGGGAGTATTTCTCAAGAAATGTAACGAAATACATTTCATCCTGATTATATCGCGATCCATAGAAACATTCCAAATGTATTTTGACACAGGAATACAGATACTAGTGCAAAAAAAGTATCGCGATACAGAAATACAGATACGAAATGTATTTCTGAAATACTATCGCGATACATTTGTGTCGCGATACTACCCAACCCTGCTTAAAAGCCACCGTATTCACTGACAGCTTAAAAAACGCAGGATGTTGCAAGTGTCGACCATTACATTATCTGCTTGATGCGAAAAAAATTGTGGTATCAGCAGAAAATAATTCCGGCCCATGAATCACCAAGCAAGAGGCGCGACTCTAAGAAGCCATGCTCCCTCCCTACTAAAAGTGTCGCGGTCTATATTACAAAATATAGAGCACATTCGCACAATTTAACGTGAAAACACAAGAACTCAGTACATGTCTCACATAAAGGTATTTCTTACAGTGTATGGCTAATTGTTGTTACTCCTTGCGCGCAGCACCCTTCTTTCCTCGGCCACCAGAACTTGGGGTAACTATGGCATGCATAACGGGCCACACATTTGGCAGTGGGGTACGTATTCCATACATTATTGCGAATATAAACTAGAAATAACTATGTTTAACTCCTTAACAATGCATATAGTACGATGTATAAAAATGTATTATAGTTGTCATCAATTCAAATACCTCATTGCAATTTAAGCCAAGTGCTATCGAGCCCATATAATAGTTTTGAATAATCTCGGAGACAAATAACGTGCAACATAACGCCCCTAGTTGAGGAATCATTTTAATGCTGGAGGTAGAGGCATGCTTGGTACGTACATGACGTATCCGGCAAAGATTATGTAGAGAAAGGGAACTCGAATTAAACAGGTGACTCTTTTTGGATAGCTCTATCGATCACGGAGGCTGTTGCAAAACTAGTTTGACGCGCTTATTAGCAAATGAATAAGGTTTCCCGACATGTTTTTCACAGCTAACAGCCTCCAATCAAAAATAGCCTGCAGTAAAAAAAAAAAAACTATCAGACTTTAGAAATTCATTTTGCTTAGCAATATTCTGGGAACAATTTTAAAATTCGTTTGCATACGAGCGGGTATTCTCATTCGAAAAAGATGTATCTAGCTGCTGTACGGTGAGTGGGAATGATACGGATCTTGTGGGTGTGCGTTGATGCCTCAGTTACGCAGCCAAAAAAATATGTGTTACACTTTTTAAGATCCTTCAAATACTGAGCTTTCGTTGTTTTTTTCCTAGTTTTGGTGTGGCGGCACCACACAGTGATCTGCAAAATAAACGTAAAAATGAGTTAAGGAAACACTAGCCTCCCGCTCCTTCCCTTTCCACAAAATAATCAAATGCATAGATAACTTACTGATGCAAAAACAAAAACCTTGCCAATGAAAACAGCGCAATATTTAGGTATTGAGACGCATCTTTAGTATTGCTTAGCGCTTCTTCTGCCTGTTGCGAATAAAACGCACCAAAATAGAAGCAAGTTTAGATAATCGATTTTCACTAAACAATTTGTATCACTATGTAAATTTGACAATATTTTGTTCGCGAAAAATAATTTTTGTGACATACGTCCAGTCCTAGGTGGTAACGCGTTACTAGTAAGGCGTCACTGTAAGTTCGTTACTTTTTACGTAACTTGTAACTGTCACGAGTTACTTTTTAAAAATGTAACTTGTAACTGTACTTCTATTACTTTTTAGTTAACAAGAAAAGTAACAACGTTACTTTTGTCGTTACTTTCCAGTTTTTTTTATGAATAACATGTAATAGAACTAGTACAATCTAGGTATTTCTTGCAATTTCCCAATTATCTGTTCCGACGTTTCGAGTGTCAAGTTGACCTTGCACAAGTTGTAAATAGGTTCTTTCTCACCAGTCACAACCCGAATATAGTCAGGTGTAGATGCGATAAAAAAAATTTAGTTATCTTTACGCTCGCCCTTGTACTTTGTGACTGAACATTTAATCTTATAGTACCTTAAAAACTATCTATGTTGAGGATGTTCGTTTTTCTGCGCAAACGCTTTTTAATCAAGTGGATCAACCGTAAAAAAACAATACACACGAAGGCCACTCCGAATGTTTCGTATTTTAATTTGCGCCACTACTCCGGCTTGGTGTCAGCAGTCGAGGCAAAATCTACTGCTGTTTGCGCAGGGTTTGCTTGTTGCTCTGGTTGTTCGGGGTCTGTTCAGCAGGGGGCGGCGACGTGTTCGCCATCAAACAAGGGAAACTTTTAGACACTAATTTCGAGAAACAACTGCTGCTAAGTTACAATATGAAGTAAAAAGCGTACCTTTTAATTTTATGCTATAAAGCTTGGTTATGAGGTTTTCTAATTTTTCCTAAATTTTTCGTGTCAAAGAAAAGTAACTGAAAAGTAATATCGTTACCTTTTAAAAGTAACTAACTGTAACGAGTTACTTTTTTGTTGCAATAGCTGTAACGGTAACTTTGCTACTTTTTTCTGAAAGTAAATGTAACTTTAGCAAGTTACTTTTTAAAGTAACTTACCCAAGACTACGTACGTCTGGCGCTTAAAATGTTTCTGGGAGTTCAGCGTTGGTAGGATCGATAAAGCGACACACATCCATTTCAGTTTTACATTCTAAAATACATGGCCTTCCCATACAGACATTGGAATCATTTTTATTTTAGTTCTATGTTGTAGCTGTTGTTGTTGTTTGATAGAAGAGAAAGGTTTTACGAAATGTTAAAGGGTACTCCGGCGCTCTTTTGTGCTACCCAAACAAACTATATTTTCGTAATCTCCGCCGTTTACCCTTTCCGGTATGTTATTTAGTATCGCGAAATTCATAATAGTTATTAAATCGGAAAATTAAAATGATGTCAAAACCAGCATTCATATATACCCGGACTTTTCAGTACTGAGACGTCAGTGGAAGACGGGCTTGCCAGTCAAGCAAACAGACGAAAAAGCAAAATTTTGCTCCGTGCTTGCGCCCGGGTATTACAACAAGCTTGCACAGAATTCATTTCACACCATAAAACTGGTTCTAAACAGTTGGGAACCAAATCTACTTCACAAAGTGAACCCATGCCTTCCACTGGCGTCACTTTTTCATTCTTCCCAGTAGAGACTTTAAGCTTGAAAAACGGTGAGGACTAAAATTGTAAATTCAATAACTTCGCAAAAGAAAGAAACAAATAGTTCAATCCAATCTTTGGGATACTATTACAGCGATGTTCGTCGCTATGTTTAGCAAAGTTTCAGGCAAATCGAGGACCATGAAGCAATCTCCAGAGTGCCCTTTAACTGTTATTTAAAGACGATAGCAGTTTCAGTAAGGTCAGATATATTAAAATTTCAATGTTAATTTTTTTTTAAACGTGGGAATTATTTATGTGCTATTAGGTAAAAAATTAACAATTGTCAGAATATTCTTGACAGGAGTTTGTATTTCTTGATCTACAGGACAGTACAATTAAGCTGAAACCACATTGTGGAAAAGGGTGCAGCGGGGAAGAACCAAAGGATGGCGACAAATGTGTTGTAAGTCGATCGAAAAAGTGTTATTAAGTGTATTTGTTTTAATTAATTTCGCGTGCTTATTTAATAAATTGTTTAACCGCTCCACTAATGGCAACGCTAACACAATTGTTCATGTGTATTCCCGAAAACTCTTGCGGGAGTTTGAAATATCTCTCCTTCCAGGTGGAATCTGGAACATCAGGTTCAACTTTCATTATTCTCTCTGGAGTGTGCCAAAACATGACGTGTAAAGTAAATAACAAAAGTGAGATATATAAACAAGAAATGAATGACTCACTCGATACTAATGAATCCAGTAAGTATATTTTAGTTCTGTAAAAATATTTTTTTTTTTTGTGAAAATAAACTGTAATTTCTATACAGTCATGTCTCGTTAAAATGGACGCCTCTGTTCCCCATAATAAAAATCGTTCGTAACCCGAGTCGTCCATAAGAGCGAATAAAAAGAAAAACAAAAAATAGACAACAAGCATAGCCACGGAATATCCATTCTTTTTAGCCACTTTAGTTTAGCCTTTAGGCCACGATTTTATGCCCAAAAGCGTTATAGGTCCCTTTCCTGTGGGACATGTATTCTGTCCGTTTCAGATTGACGCCTGAAATATTTTACTGTCTTTTAAGCAGGGACTCAAACCGAAAATAATAACGGTTCGGTTACGGTTATGGTTACCATTATATGAATGAAATCGGTTTAGTTCCGATTTCTGCGGTTTCTGGTTTCATATATCTGTTACCGGTAAATGCTTTCCTCAAAGCTAGTTTTTATCGGTTCGGGAAAAAAGAAGTAGTGAAATATATATGTTAGAATTTTGGAGGTTACTAGGAACGATATTACTCTCTAACTTTAGATCATCTTTCTTCTCAAGGGTTTATTTTATTGAAGGAAAGATCATTTCCTTCAATTTCTATAACGTCACATTCATGCAAATTATTGGAACATATAGTCTACAGGCATGTAATAGAGTTTCTCGATACTAACAATATTTTATGCGATTTCCAACATGGTTTTCGACGCGGTTATAGTACTATGACACAACTAACAGAGTTTGTTCATGATATCGGTCTGTCTCTTGACATCCGTAACCAAGTTGATGCGATATTTATAGATTTGTCAAAGGCTTTCGACACCGTTCCTCATTCTAAACTCCTACACAAGCTTAACCTAATTCTAAATAATCATCACCTTGTGAACTGGATATCCAGTTTTCTTTCCCAACGGTCTCAGTTTGTCTACTTTAACTCATCCAAGTCTAGTACAGTTGACGTATCATCAGGTGTTCCACAAGGGTCAGTTCTTGGACCGCTACTTTTCTTGTTATATATCAATGATTTGCCACGCTGTATTTCCACTAAGGTCCGACTTTACGCTGACGACTGCGTACTATATCATGTGATAAACTCCTCAGATGACCATATAACTCTTAACAATTCTTTCGTGAATTTTTGTACGTGGTGTAAAACCTGGCAAATGAACCTGAATTTTAGTAAAACGGTTTTTATGACCTTTTCTAGGCGTTCATCACCTTCTGTGTTTAATTATTCATTTGACGGGTTATGCCTAGAAAGAGTTTTTGAATATAAATATCTTGGCCTCCTTTTCACGCCTGATTTATCTTGGTCTAAGCACATTGATACGACATGTAACAAATCTCTTAAAAGACTTGGATACCTGCGGCGTACCTTACGTGTGGCACCACAAGATACTAAGCTTTTAACTTATAAAACTTTGATTCGCCCAATCCTCGAATATGGTTCTATTATTTGGTTTCCCTACAAAGAGTCCGATATAAAAAAGGTCGAATCAGTACAAAAGAAATCGGTACGTTTTATTTGTCGTCGGTATGACAGAAACTTTTCTCCTTCTTCTAATCTTTCCGTGTTAGGTCTAAGATTTCTTTCTGAGCGTCGTGGTATCGAGCGCCTAAAGTCTCTGTATTTCATGGTTAACTCATCACGTTTTGACTCGTTACATAACTACATAAAGTTTCTCGAGCCAACTGCAACTAGGAGCCACCATGAATTAAACATTTTACCTTTTCATCCTCGTACTGATATGTTTAAATACAGTTTTTTTCCTCACACCATTGAACGCTGGAATTTATTACCAGGAAACATCCGATCACTACAACCAGATGAATTTCTGTGTGCCGTTGACAGTGGTCCACAGTGATGTCCGGACCGTCTGTGTTTACCTCCCACTCCTGCCATAGCCCCAGTGGGGCTGCAGTATGTATAAATAAATAAAATAAATAAAATACTTCATTCATAATAATTGGTTTCAAGTAGCCGTGAAATCTGACAATGGGTCGGCGAGGCAAAATTAACCGTGGCGGATCAGAGTCTTAAGAATTTGAAAATGTGTTCACCCCTCCTGATTGAGTAGCAGCCCCAAATATTTTTACTTCTAAAAATTTCGTAACCATTATTATTTTCTATTTCTTGTTTTTCTTTTGTTACGGACGAATATACTGCATACAGTACAATACGTTGCAACCATAGTCTTCCACAGAAAAAACAAATGATCAGCCTCTCGGTGGTGCGGGGGCTTTTTCTTAAACATTCCGATTACCAGTTCGCTGTTCTAGGGACTTTTTATTACATTATCTTTATTGCTAGTCTAGAAGTAGTACAATTGAAGGATTTTATCGCATAAAATATGATATAGAATGCAGAACGCTAGAAATCATTGACAAAGAACTTCGTACATAGTATTCAGCCACCACCAAGAGCGTGTCGACAACGTTTGTCGCCTCCAAAGAAAGTCGGCAGTTTCCCTGAAACATCAGGAACGAACCCACTGACCCCCTATCGCTCTGATCACTCCGGCTAGGCGTTTTTCAGTTTTGTTAGCTTGCCGTTAATCTGGAATCAGAATGGCGTCGACGACGTTTATTTCTACTTGAAGTCACGAGTGGGGTTCACTTTGAACAGCTTGTAACGTCTCTTACCAGACTAGCAACTAGCTCTGGGTACTAAAGCCACCCGTATAACCTTGGCATTGGGCTAGAGATAAGCATTATGGCCCCATGTGAGCCAATACGAGCATGAGGAGGACAACACACTGGAGTCGCCTCCTGCGGTGTATTTTCTGATTCCTCGCTGCGGTTTTCGTACTCACTGGCCCCGTAGCATCTGGTGCTGGCCAGGTTATGCTAAAACTAAGTCGAGTGTAGCTTGACCCCGGTGCCTGCCATGACAGACGCCATAGGCCATTTTCCATCGCCTGTGCAGCACCTGATCCTCACACCAGCTGAATTGGAAATGATAGCACCGCCAGCCGAGAAAGGACAGGTAGAATAAATAGAGACTATTGGTAAAAAGCAATACCCTAAAAGTATATTTGGTATGCTAAAGGTATACCTTGAGAAGGGCAGCCTACTGAAAGTGTACTTGAAGTGTACACAAATGTGTACTCGTACGCTGTGCTAAAGTACACTTGTAAATACAACACTTGTGCAAGTACTTGGACAGACTTGAATGGTAATTAGACTACTATCTTTGTGGTTGAAATCTGACTATTGAAGCATGCTTCTAGTATGGTACTGTAAGTATACTATAAATGTCCATTAAGCTCTCCTTAATTTCATGTTAAGTTTATTTAAAGTGCACGGAATAGGTATACTACAAGTAGTCATAGGTTGTTTTCCCGGACCTCCATGGGCACCTTGAGGTGTCTCCCGTCGGGGGCCGCGGGACCGTGGATCGTTACTGTATGTTTGAGGGCTGTTCGTCGGTGGCGATAACTCGGGAGAGGGACGGCCAACAAAGCTCCTGTTCAATTCAAAAACAAAAAGTTTACTGGAACTTTCGATGAGTACAATGAGTTCAAGAGCACCTTGCATGAAGGTTCTCTGTTTCGAGGCCCCATGGGCCCAGGCTGCCTGAACTGCAGCGCTTCGTGCAGAAGCTCTTTTCCGTTCCTCTGCAGAGTAGCTTCTACAAATCAGTGCCTCCCGAGTACCCCGCCACGTATTTTTCTGAACAAGGCGCCTAAGCTGTAGAAAAAATATAGGCTAGCTCGATTGTGAAACAAAGAAGGTAATTATTTAGATGGTGGGCCCAAAAACACCTCTTCCCCTTTATTTATTTTTTCTTTCGTGCCAAAGTAGTAAAATTATGCCAGAAAGAGATAAGTAAACACGCTTAATAAAGGCCGCAAACTCCGGAGAGGAAACACAAAAAAAGAAAAGAACTCAAACCCCGGGCTGGCGGGAGGGAAAGGGGGCATTATCCAGTTTTTCTCTCGCAACTGCATGATTCTGGACACCTGTAGAAAATCACTAAGCAATTTAGACTCGTTTTTCTCGGGAGATAATACTCGACTCCCGAAGAACCGGCCCTTGTCCGAAAGACTGCGTTCAGGCGCCTTGTCTACTAATGTGGACTAGATCTTTGCTCGGTGCCGGGCCAACCCGAACACCCAGGTCTGGCCCGGCGCGCGGGTCGGGCCCGGGACGGGTAGCACAAATTGTTCCCGGCCCGGGACCGGCCGGGCTCGGGCCGGGCCTGGGCCGGGTAGCACGGGTTGTTTCCATGCCCGAGCCTGGCTCGGGCATTGGTGTAGAACACTTTCTGAAAACCTTGAGAAAAAAATGCACACGCCTTGATCATTTACCTTTGAAAAAAACGAAAATGCCGAAGTGCGAACTCGCTACGTCGATGCTAAAAAAATATTAAATACACACAAAGCTGTCTTGGACTAAAAAACCCAACAATAAGATATGGAGAACAATCCTGGGGATTCCATTAGCATAGAGGGACAGCTGCCAGCAGGCAAAAAAAATCAAAGTCAAAGAGTTTTTGGTACAGATGGTTTTAGTAAAAATACAAACTATATTCAGGCGAGGGTCCCAAAGTTAAAGAAAAAAACTGTTTAAGGGTACCCGTTTTTCTAAGAAAGTGAGTAGGTGATTCACTGATTAACGCTACATATAGCTAATTAATTCTAAAAGACAAGGCGAGGGCAATCCTGCAACAGGGGACCTTGGATAGTACGATTGTCTTTCCCTTTCCTTTTAGAACTTTTGGACAAAAACAGAAATAGCCCTCTGGCTACTAAATATAAGCTATGTTTGTGTAAGTTTTCGCAAGTTTTCCTCGTGACTGTGATATGACAGCGTCTTTCATGCAAATTAGGCTAAACCAATCAAATGTACCGACACCTTCCCAGGGCAGCTTTGAATTTAAGAGACGACGTGCACGCATTGGGGGGCCTCTCACCCGGCCGGGCCCTGGCCAGGCCTGATAAGGTAGGCATCCCATCGGTCCGTGTCCTGGCCGGGTAAGACTAAGAGC